TTAATTTCTTTCTATTTTTAGTAGAGACGGGGTCTCGCTCTTGCTCAGGCTGGTCTCGAACTCCTGAGCTCAAATAATCCACCCGCCTCGGCCTCCCAGAGTGCTAGGATTACAGGCGTGAGCCACCGCGCCCGGCCTGCAAGCTTATTTTAACTCAACATTCACTGCTTATAAGGGTAGTGATTATTATGATGGGGAATAGGGTGGTGGTGGGTTATGTCTAGTTTGAAAATGTTCCTAGGTGATTTTGAGACACTCCAAAGGAAACATCTCTTTTCCTTGCTCCCCACCCACCCCATCCAAGCTGAGATCACCACTCTCCCTCATTATCCTAGGGCAGCTCTCCACTCTCATGACTCTGGCCTGCCCACAGCTGATATTTCCCAAATCCAAACCCTTTGGCCTGAATGGCTCCCCATATAGTAGGCTTTTGTTTATCATGATCTCTGACAAATATCCATTCGGCATGTTTTGAACATCTTTTCTTTGAAAGAGGCTTCCCTTTGGAATTTTCCCATTTTTGCCTTCTGTCATCTTGCCTAAAATTTATTTACAAACGTTCAATATTTCTTAGCTATGTAATGAAGAAGAATTAGAATATCTTTTAGACAGTATGTGAAACAGACATACAAAATTTAGCTGATTCATAACTTTGTCATTATAGATTGGATTTGCACTTCTAAGACATCTGACCAAGTTGGTAGCCGTACGCTTATGTACTTAATTTGTAGAATTAAAAAGATTATGAATCATTCTAAATGTACACTTAAGTATAAAAAAATGAACATTTGTATTTACCACTTATATAAAATCAAAACATTTTACCTTAATTGACTTCTATTTTTCCCTCCCAAGAAATAAAGCATTACCAATATACATCAAATCTTCTGTGTAACTCCTTCCCATTTCTCATTCATCTCCTTCTCTTTCCAGAAGTTACCACTGTCATAAAGTTGATGTCTGCCATTCTCATGTGTTTTTATACTCTTCATATTAATGAATATTCCCATAAACAACAGTGTAAGTTTGGAGTTTTCAGACTTCATAAAAATGGCATCATTCTGTAAGTATTTTGAAATGGCTGTGGGTTATAAGAGCTTCACAAAGTAAGTTGGGAAGTGTTCCCTTGGATTATCTATTTCTGAATAAAGGTTTGATAAAACCTGCCTTATAAAACTATCTGAGGGCCGGGTGCAGTGGCTTACGCCTGTAATCCTAGCACTCTGGGAGGCTGAGGTGGGCGGATTGTTTGAGCTCAAGAGTTCGAGACCAGCCCTGAGTGAGAACAAGACCTCATCTCTGCTAAAAAAAATAGAAAGAAATTAACCGGACAACTAAAAATATATAGAAAAAATTAGCCGGGCATGGTGG